ATGTATCAAAGAGATATCTAACTGCCAGATGACTGACCAGCAGGTGAACATCCATGCGCTTTATTTAGTGTGTGTTTTATTTGACTTTATTCAGGAGTGTTTGTTGGAGGTCCTGGAGATCGTGGAACTTGGGATTTCAGGCAGTAAGTCTAGACAGGAACAAAAAGTGAGATGTAAAGAGGAGAAAGACCAAAACCCAGCCTCTCTGAGGGTGAAGGAGGCAGCTGAGGCCACACTTAGCTGGTGAGCATCACAGTAACAATAACATTAAGATTGTAGAGATTATAGAAACCAATCATTTTGCATATAAGATCTGACTTAGTTTATATCATGCATTTTGGTTGCAACAGGAACAAAAACAGAATTTTGACATGAATTGCTTCGAGGATTTATGTCATTTCAAAAATCTGTTACTGTTCATCAAAGGTGTGGTAGAAGACTGTCAGCCCCAAAAACGGTTATTGTTTAAACATTTCATCGTAGAAAGCTTTCTGATCCTGGATATACTTTCAGTCTGACTGAATCTCCTTTTATTGCTCTTCACACACATGACACAGATGCAATGGAGACAAATGAGTCAAATAATGTTCATGAAGCTGGCAACAATGCATTATTTTACTACAAGTTCAGTCATATTGAGTTCAATTCAGTTTTATTTATATAGCGCCAAATCACAACGACATGCTTACTGTAAGGTAAAGACCCTTAATTGGTGTATTTGTCCTACCCTACTATCCCTGTCTCTATGTCTATATCTATATATGTATCATAAATTAGCTGTGTGGAGCAGGCAGGATCAGACCCAAATGCAGACTCGTTAGGCAGGACTTAACACAAGAACACAGCTTTATTGCTGGAATGTCAAAGAAATACAAAACTAACCTAAACTGGGAATACTGGGAATAATCTAAGCACACACAGAAACACAAAGCCAGGAATGAGGAATATCGCAAAAACGGACAGAGGGAAACAGAGGGCTTAAACACACAAGGAATCATGAGGGAACGAGAAACAGGAGGGAAACACAGCGGAGCTAATCAGACAGGATGAGACAGAGGAAGCAAAACTGAACATAAAACACATGAGACGAGGTACCTCTAAGACAGGAAATTACCCAGAACCATGACAAATATGTGTGTAACAAACCTGCATGTATGCATATTAACCTGGATAAAAGAGACGCATTAAAAATGCAACAATGTAGCATTTTCATTCTGTAACTTAGCCTGATCCATGCTTGGTTGTGCCATGGTATTAGTGTTAGTATTAGGGGGTTAGGGGTGGGGGGTAGGGTGCTGTATTGAACAACTGATCACGGAAATGTGGCCAAACTTGGTCCTGCAAAACTATGAAATGCGCTAATTAATCCTTTTTTTAAAAATCGTTTGTACAAATTGTTTCAGTAAAAAAAAAAAAGGGGGGGGGCGGTATTTCTTTGGGTTTTTTTTTTTACAGAACTCACATTCTATTTTTTATTGCAATGTGGGACTTTACAGTACTGCTTCTCTTTTTGTTTGTTTTTTGTATTTCAAATCGGCCATGCTAAGAGATTTAATTAGTGCATTGGTCCAAACTTTTTGGCTTTTAACCTTAAATGTTTTAGGATATTCATGTTAAAACATTGTCTCCCAAAAAGTAGGTGAACGGGCCTCTTTAAAAATAGAAAATATCAAGAGAAGTATTTTAATATGTGAAACTAAAATTTCACAGAAATCAAAATGTTCCACCTCTGACTTCTTTGAACAGAAAATGTTCTAAAGATTTGAGGTGATTTGAGGCATTGTCATCTTTACAGCCTTTTAGTCATCAGAGTTTGTAGTCAAATTAAAGTTACTGCAAACTATCAAAAGAAAAGCCCCGTGTAACTATAGTGAAATATATCAAAACCACTGTACTTTGCTGTTGGTTTCCTCTAATTCCTTTGTGCACCAGTGCTCTATACAATCAATTAAATATTATTTATATAGCACCAAATCAGAACAACAGTTTTCTCAAGGTTCTTTACATTGTAATGTCAAGACCCTACCCACAGAGTCCTGACTTTAACACAACAGAACTTCACCTTTTGGACAAATTGGAGGAGAGACTTTACAGTGTCTTACCTCACAAATGTGCATCTGGAAAAATGGTCAACAATTCCCATAAACACACTTCTAAACCTTATGGAAAACTTTCCAGACGAAGTAAAGGGTGTGCCGACATGGCATGTCACTCAGGTTCACATGCGTGTGAAGGCAGATGAGCAAAAACTTTTGGCAACATAGCGTACAACTGCTGACCTGCTCCATGGTAAACATACTGAATGGATGAGCTGTAGCTTGGTTTGTTGCCACCAAACATCCAACTATCAGACTGGGGCATCTCTAGCTTTAAGGATGTGGTCTGTATTTGTCTCAGTGTTATGCAGGTTTCAGAGGCATTCCCTTTCGTCAGCGGGATCCTCAATGAGGATGTTCTGGTTCGTTCTTCCTGTCAGAGTGACAGCAGTCTTGAGAAGTTCAGATATTTTGTGGTGGAAAGCTCCACGATCCTAGCCTTTTTGGAGCAAACACTGGGACGTGAACAGGGTAAGTCCTGATACAACTAATTCTGAAACTGATAAAAAGGAATCTGGGATGTGTACACAAAAGAATAGAAGCTAATGTTTTTCTATTTACATAATTAAGGAAAACTGTACAGGATATTAGGAAATAAATATATTGCACAGCAACAATAGCAGCAGAAAACCAGTGTACATGCATCATTCCAGACATGAAACTGAACCCTAAAGATACAGTCATGGAACAGAAAGATGGAGATCCTGTTACCTACACTGACTGCAGCCTGTTGATGAGGGTGTGAGTGGCTATGGGAGATGGTTGTTTTGAATGCTGAGCTGACAAACAACATTCTGTCTCAAAATGTTGTTGCAGTCTGCTGCCTTCTTTATTTTCACTCTCCTCAGGTTCTTACAGCCATCAGCCACGGTGAGATTTACTACTTTCTCATCAAAGTGAAGGATGGCTTTTATTACAGGGGTGCTCATTAAGGATGTTCATTAAGAAGGTGTTGTTGTCACACCGCCTTATAATCTGTTACTGCCTGAATCCCCTGCCACATGTGTCTGGTATTACTAGAGTCACAGTAGAAACCTTTGATCTTTCCAGCATTCACAGGCTTATCACATACTCACACTGATCCTGGCACAACAGGAACGCAGGCAGTACTTGACACTACTGTAATATTTAATAGATATTTTAGATTTCAGCTTCTACTGTTCCACATAAAACGAATCTTTGGGAGGTTCAAAGCTGCCCGTTGATAGTTTTGATTGTGTTTTTGCTTTTCAATGGTGAATGCAGCACAGTATCCATCACTCATCATGGTGATCAGAGGAGCGTCAGGACGCCACACCTGGAGTCTAGAGCTTTGTCCAAAGCCTCACCAGGGACAAGCTGACACACAGGTGGCCACTTCCAAGCTGATGCAGTATGATTCAGTACATGTTGTGCATTCCTTCAGAGGACTTTATCATAGCTTACAATAGATTATACAAAAGATGTACGCAGCCACTTAGATGTCTTCCATTAGTTTGTGAAGTCATATTTTGTAGTACTTTTTTCAGGTTAGGTCAGTCATTTCTTCTCTCTCTTACCTGATGATTGTTTTCAGGAACCCCTGATACCAGAACAGCACAGCATGGCCCAGGAAGATGCCAGAATACAAACTGTTATCAAACAGCAGCTGCTTTCTGAAAGTTTTGATGCAGTTCCATCAGTTAAAGCAGATCATAGTATTCCAGCTCTGCATGAGACCATTACTGAGGAGGTAAGAACCA